CTCACTCAGTTTTATCTTGTACTTTTGGTAAGATCTTCTAGGTAAGTAATTGAAATGTATTATAAAGTATAATTATAGTAATGTGTGAAGGGATGTTTTGATGTTAACTACATCGTTGAAATGTTTCCAGCTTACAAAGAATAAGTTGAGTTAATAAAATTAAACAATTGTTTTCTACTTGGAAATAGTAACTCGCTCATAAAGAAAAAGGTGAAACTTTGGACCTTATACTTGCTGCCTTTTAGAACTGTAAGTATAAGCCTATTAAGGAAAAAAAAACAGAATCTTCTTAGAGGGAACTACTTTCAGTGTATGTACATCTGTTACAATGTAAAGAGCCGATTCAACGTTTTCAACCCAACGCCCATCCTATACAAATAACTATATGCTCAACTGAAGTGATTCAGAATAAATTAATGGAATTCGGAACTTATATACGTAAAGGACGTTTTATGTTTTACACAAATAAACTGTTAAAACTCAGCCTTTTTCTCTTTCAGGTACCCCTGTATGCTGGCTTGGCGTATGACGCCGTTTTGATCTACGCTAAAGCACTGACAGAAGCTCTAGCTAATAACTCTGCTGAGAACAGAGGAACAGACATTATAAATTATATACGAGGCCACGTGTATCACAGTAAGTTCACTTGCCTGACAATCTATTAACATGTTGATAAAGTAGGTCTTTATTATCTCGATCATGTGCCCAAATTTGACTGCACGGTAAAAAGTAGTGTTCCAATTTGTACTAATGATTTAGTATTTAGGTCATTCTAAAACGTTATCTCTTTGCTAACTCTGGACTAAAACCACATAAACTTGCGTTCGAACAGCCAATTACAGACATTATATAGAGGATTGAATACGTTATATTAAGACATTTTTCCATTTTCTTATATATAAAACTTCAGGCCTCAGATGTTTAGAAGTAGTAAAATACCTTGTTGTGTTTTGTTTCGTTTTTCTATAAAAACATGGAATATATTTGAAAATAATCTGCGTATTTTAAATATAACTTGTATTACATTGAAGTATTTCAATACAAAAACAACAACTAACCAGAAAGCTACTTATTATTCAAAATTCTCAAACGTGAAACCTTCGTGCAAAGCAATGGTTGACGAGAACTGCTATGCAGGTTGAGTACATTATATTAAATCGATTCTGGAATCTCACCAAATCGTTACAGTCCATGTCGCCACGTTAGACCATGCTATATCTGGGGACCGAGCATTTTAACAATAGCCTTGCAGCGTAATTTCCATTACAAAAGGTTCAGTAGTAGAATTGTCATGTTCAAAACACACCACTCCTCGTCTGTCATATATCCTTCATAAAAACGATAAATTTTCGGTGGCAATCTACAAAACGCCAAACAGTGTCAAAGTGTAGTTCTGATACATGTCGTTCCACCACGACTTTATATTAGCTATGGTTGTCACGTGACTTCCTGATTTGCCTACTTTTATCTATTAAATCACCCTTCCAGATCAAAGGCAAGTTTGACGGCTAATAACGCTAATACTCGGGTTTCAGTACTCGCGGTGGGTAGAGTACAGGCAGCCCATTGTGTAGCTTTGCGCATTTCAACAAACACATCTTTTAATTTTAATAACAATAATAATACACAAATAAAAACAGAGAAAAATACATTTTATAATCTATGAAATGTTTTAATCACAATAAAGCAAAATTTAAACCATCCTGTGACTCCTTCATTTTAAGCTCTTTGAATTGTGTTCTGTAAAACGTATTACAACTTGTAAACAGACTCAGAATTATTTGAAACTGAATTGAACACTACACATATTATTTTAAAAAATAATTTACGAAGCAAGTATGTATCTTCTGAACTTTCAAAGATTCTTTAGTTACTGAAAATTTGCATTGATGTTGCATCACGACAAAAATGTGCATCAATTCCTTTTCGTAACATATCAATGTTATGCTCCAAGTCTAACTAGGAAATTCTTTTGAATTATTTTTCTAAAACGCTCTACAAACTCTTATGTTATATTTTATTATCACCCTTCGTTCTTCTTAAACAAAATATTTTATATAAGAATCTATTTCTAAACGTAGCTTCTATTACACTCGTTTCCTTCTTGATTCAAAAAACAAAGACATACAAATAGAGCTTCTGGAAAGAGTAACTTCATGTAAAAAGTAGGGCAGTGATTATTTGATCTTTGGAGTTACTGATAAGTAACCTACTATCGCGAAGAACGATTTTTTAAAGTCAAGAAGTGAATAGTTTCCATGTGAGACATATCTATCACTCTGCTACGATTTTAGTAGGCGTGTGCTTTAAATAATTGGTCATCCAAGGTGTAAGCTAGGGTTTATTCTGTATTTTGGTCAGAAAGCAGATTTCTTGGAAAAACATATGCAAGAAAAATGTAAATTATTAAGTTAGCTGGAAACTGTTAATTGTTAGAAATGATTTTCAGTTATTTAAAAGTGAAGATGCTGAAGTAAGAACTTCCTGAAGATTATCTAGCACTGCAACATCAACTTTATTGTGTAAATATGCTCTTTATTCATTACATTTATCTTTTTGTTTTTGAAATAGAATAATTGTTCGCTTGTTCGTTTTTGAATTTCGCGAAAAGCTACTCGAGGGCTATCTATGCTAGCCGTCCCTAATTCAGCAGTGATAGATTACAGCTAACTCTTGGGTTACTCTTTTACCAACGAATAGTGGGACTGACCGTCATATTATAACGCCCTTGCGGCTGAAAGGGCGAGCATATTCGGTGACGGGGATTCGAACCTGTCATCACCAGATTGCGGGTTGAGAGCCCTAACCACCAGGCAAAATATAATAACTTTATAATGGTTTTTGTGTTTGAAACAGTTGACTGGAGGGTGAACTTCTCTGAATTTTTTGAATTTAAAGTTATCAAGAAGACTGTAATAATAGTACACTTGTTTTTCATGATTTCAGACAAATTTAAAACAAGAAATCTAATATCATTCAAAATAGTCATCTAAATTTCAAATAACCTAAATTAAAAAATATATTATCTAAAATCAAATGCAAAGTACGAAGTAATCGTATTAATAAAAACAAAACTTAATCTGGAGGTCTTATCAAAAGTTCATAAAAGCCTTCAAGTAAGAATTACAAAATCTACAAACTAATAAACCTAACAAATAGTTTACAGTGAAGTAATAAGCTAAAAAATATTATCAATAGTTAGTGTAATTAAAATACGGGGTATATGATTCACGAATAAATCTAGCATATGAAGTAAGTTAAAATAAAAGCAATAGCAACCGAATGATAACATACCGTACAAAAAGTAATATAATATAAAGACTAAAATTATTCTGATTATCAAATATATGAATCAGAGATAAGCTATTTCACCTTAACAATAAATTTAGGTATCAAAGAAATATGTTATTATTATTCATTTAAGGCATCCACGGGTTCAGTGTCAGGATCGATGAGAATGGCGACGCAGAAGGAAACTTTGCTGTTCTATCTCTACTTGATAATCCAAATTCTTCATGCGAGGAAACTAAGACAATGCAACCAGTTGGCAGATTCACCTATCAGGAAGCGCAAGGACTTCCGGTATTTAAAGGAAATAGAAGTTTTTATATATTTTTTGATAAGACCGAAGTCTGCAAAAAAATATATATATGTAAAGCAGCTGTTAGCAATTAATTATTTTAAACATTTTAATAAATCATTGTTTAACGTGTAATATGTTTTCAAATTTGCCATAGATTCAAAACAATAACAAATAATACACAAAGTGTGAAAATTAAAGTACTTTCTACCTTTTGAAAGTTGGTAATGGAAAACTTACATAAATTTATATTGATCTTATCCAATTATTTACATTTAAGCTGCTGCTTTTAGAGAGACAGATTGATTGGATAGCCGGAGCACCACCTGCAGGAGAACCAAAGTGTGGTTTCAATGGCGAACTATGTGAACAAGGTGGGTGCTTGTTTACAGTATAACAAATATTAAACATTTCAAATAATAGATGCGTATGTATAACAAATAGGTTTAAGATAATATTTATGTGCTATTGGTTATAAATATATATATCACTTGGTGAGTAGAGTACAGATAGTCCATTATGCAGTTTTACTCCTTCATAAAAACAATCTAAATATCATTTGCAAACATCTAGTTAAAAGACAATAAGCTAAACTCGTGAATATTGAATCAGTGTCTTATCCGTCTATACTTGACTAAATGTTTGTCTATTTCAGATTGGAAAATGATCCTTATTGGGCTAGTGACAGCTGCTCTGGTTGTTATTGCTGGAATATTCAGTATTAGGTAAGTTCAGAGAAACATTTGGATTAAGTTCTTGGTATGAACGCATCTTACTCAAGAGCAACAGTAAACGATGTCATAAATGTTTTCTTTAGATTTTGTTTTCTAAATCAAATGAAATATAGTTATTTCGCTCATTAGCTAACATAGAATAAATCCTAATGAAAGTTGTGTTTGTATTAGCTTTCATGCATGAACTGACATTGCGTATTTCCTACCAAAATATATTACCTGGAACTTACAATAAGCTATATCATACTCTGATGATATGATTGTCGGGTATACGGATGTTCAGATAACTTTTAAAATATCTTCTCAATTCTCAAACAACGCAAACGTGTAAACAGATTCAAGAACAAACGTTTTTATCACTGCGTGATTAGGTCATTCTCTTTCTTTTGGCTTGTGTAAGCAGTCACGATACTTTTTGAGGACTAAATGGTACTTTATTTAGTAAACACTTTAATGATTATAAATACTATTTTAATTTATTGAAATTTACTCGTCTCCTAGACATTACAGATACGAACAAAAGATGGCGCGGATGTTGTGGAAAGTGGATATTAAAGATCTAATCCTGCTCAGGACCAGCTCAGACCTCACTCTCCAAAACTCACGCAACCAGATTAGTGTAAGACGACCTGAGTTGTCAGCCACTCTTCTTTCTTCTTGTTATTATTATTGTTTTTCTTTGTCTTTTCGATTCTACAATATGTCAAGAGAAAACAAAACAATAAAAAACAAAGTAACATCAACACCACAAGTTTCTATTTAATATTCACAGCTTTGTAAGAATATTCTAAAGGTTTATATTATTTTGGTAATAATTACGTACAAATGTTTTACATATAATGTAATCCTTGAAAGTTTGTATTGAGACGAATAATTTCAGCTAATTAGTGGAGCAAATTGAAACAATCAAGCTGTTTATGGTTGATTTGCTTTAAGCACAAAGTTATCCAGGGTTTTTGCGTTATAAGCTTTCAAGCTTACCGCTGAGTCAACAGGGGACCCATGGCTTATTGTATAATTAAAATCTCGGATGAACGTAAAGAATGTTCTTTGCTTGTTATCATCAAATTTATATCTGGATATTTTCATGAATGTGTGTCTATAACTATTTGATATTTGTTTTTGAAGTCTAAATCTCGTGATGATATGTCGGAACTTGAATGTCTCTAAAATTTCTGTCAAATTTTTATTTGCTAGCTGTTTGTTGTTATTTTTAACGCAAAGCTATACAATGAGCTATATGCGCTTTGACCATCATAGGATATCGAACAACCGGATTTTAGCATGGTATTTGTTAAAGTTCTAAAATGACAGGTCAAAGGTTCGACCCTGTAATATACCACTGAATACTTTCCCTACTCTCAACTCTGGGTGCGTTATAAATATGGCGATCAATTCCACTAAGAATAGCGTGTAAGTGAACGGTGCTGCTAATTGATTCCCCCATCCCCTCCTTCTCTAGTCAGCAGTTCTAAATTAAGGGGATAGCTGGGTCGGAACCTTACGGTTTCTTCTAGTGTAGGAAAGACATTATACAAATACAGTAGTAAATTAACAAACAACAATCTATAAGCACCATGATATTTAATAACGAAAACATACTACATCATTCGACAATACCTTGGGTTGAGAAAACATACTACATCATTCGACAATACCTTGGGTTGTGAAAATATACTACATCATTCGACAATACCTTGGGTTGTGAAGACATACTACATCATTCGACAATACCTTGGGTTGTCTGCTTAAGGTATTATCGAATCGTTGTTCGTTAATTTACTACTTTAGGTCTCTGATCTTGCCTTTTAGCTCATGCCGTACAGGTTTAAATGCAAAATACTACAAATAAACTACAAAAAATTTAACAGCGAGTGTGAATAACTCTGTTTATTACCACAAATCTACTTGTATTCCAAGTGTTTGCAGAATAGAAATAATGAAAACTATAACATTGCAAAGAGAAAGAGGCAGTTTGTTATACAGGATAACCGACGAAAAGTACAAGTTTCTGTTGTCAAATATTTAAATTAAATTAAAAATTGTTTGCATTATAGATCCAGTAAATATAAAGACTCGTAAGAGTTATTAGTTATTATAAGGCGATGAACCAAAACAACTGCGCTGAACCAATAATTCGATATGTCGACATCAACCAAGAAAAATCAAGACAGAACCCCCCCCCCCCTCACACACAAAAACAACATTAGCTTTCTATACTTCCTCTCTCTTGAACAAGGACGATCCAGCTACCATAAGTATCTGGTCTTTCTCATTCGAGTTATCCTTTGTTATTCGTACGTAATTCGAAAGGGAAATAAAACGTACATCAATTTATCTAGATTTTTTTTCATTAAGTGCTAACTTACTGTTTTTAACAAAAAAACACATCAATAACTTTTCTTTGCTATATAGATTTTTAGCAGTTTCTGTCGGATTAAATGCTTATGTGTTTAGATTTTATGTTTTTAATCTCTTGAGCTCAACAAAAGGAATAAGCAACTTATTTTATAAAAAAGATAAGAAAAAAAACTTAAACTATTACTTACCCCAAACTTGCAAATACCGTTTACAATTTATCTTGATGTCATATAGCAATGGTTTATCGAACTTATGCATGTCTAAAGATTAAAGATTGTCAAATTTCGCGTATCTTTCCAAAGACAGTGCTGGCATTTTTAAGCTACTACATTTATGCACGGAAGCACTAACAGTGACACTGGTGTAGGTTTAACAGCGTATACATTATAGTAAAAAGAAAATGAGTGTAAAACACTGAACAAGGAAAAGAGTCAACACCTAAGAGACACTTCTCTTAACAAGTATTCACAACTGCTTGTTTTATAATTTATATATTTTTTTATATTTAAAGTATATGATTGTACAGTATTCGCGCATGTTAATAATTTTTAGCAAAAACATAACAGCAAAAACAAAAATGCCATCCAAAAAAGCATGTATAGAGAAGGAAATAACTTAATGTAAAATGCCTAAACATATGTTTTATAAATTTGTCGTTTCGTCTGGATCTGGATCGGAACTTAGGTCGCATTTGTACAATCTGGGAGGGTCAGGTTCAATCTAGACCTCTTCCTTCCTCCTTAATTATTATTATTTCAAATACTACAGGATAAATTCACGAGAATTAGCGCCCAAAAATTATTATTTTTTGTTTCACTATTCCTATTACCCTCTTCAGGGACATGTCCAGGAATTTCAAACTTACAGCATTTCGTGCTATTACAGTTTGTTGGCAACGTCACTTTTCACTAGATCACACTACCAGAGGCACATGTAACATAAATATCTTAATAATACACTTGTAATACATTGATCTAGTTGATATTGGAAAAGCTGGATAAGGGCTACTGGTTTGGATATGTATTTTATTGGATTTGCGAGTAGAGTGTTCATGATTATATGAATTACTTGTGGGATTATGGGTGTAAAGTGTTGCTTGGCGATATTGATGAGAAGAGTGAGACTGACTGATTGATTGTAATGATTTTGATATTCTCTGATGAAATCTATAAATGTGTTTTTAACTGCTTCTATTATTGGGTTATTTTCTGTATTTGTGGGTAATGTTTCTAATGGTTTTGATATGTCTACGTTCGGGATATTAATTGGTTGAACATTTTCTTGAGTTGTATTTGTGTTTGGTTGGTGTACAGTAGCTCTCATGGACTGTGCCTGTATCTGTTTTGTTGGCTTGGGTGTTTCTTAACCATGTGAGTGTGTACGTGTTGCTATCGCATACGATGGTGATGGTGTAAGCTGCGTATATGTAATCATGGGTTGTGATGTTGGTGTCGATACCAATGGTGTTTTTCTGGTTGATTTTTTGCGTTTATTTTCACGTATTTTGTATTTGTTTCAGTGGGTTTCAAATTACTGTGTATGTTATAAACTCTTATTTTGATTTTCTTAGGACATCCTTTATAATTTGCTGTCTGTTGTTGTTTTAAGTTACAAAAGTTTTTGATGTTGTTTAGGGCAGTCAGAAGTATGTTGATCTCCACCACAGCCCACACATCGTGGGAGCGTTTACACGCTGCCACGACATGCCCGTAAAATTGACATCTCTAACACTGGGTTACAACTACGGCAGGTGTTTTTAACTCTTTTGCCTGAAATCTCTGATACCATTAGATATTATACTCTCGATATCCTGTGATTCGTGTCTGTAAGTTTTATAATTTTTGTTGGCTTTTGTGTTTTATTTGAAATTATGCGTTTTGTTTTTGTATGTGAAATGTTTCACGTAGTGCGTAGATTGTTTTGTTTTGAATTACGCGCAATGCTACTCGAGGGCTAACTGCGCTAGCCGTCTCTAATTTAATAGTGACAGGGTAGAGGGAAAGCAGCTAGTCAACGCCATCCACACCCAACTCTTGAGCTATTATTTTACGTACGTTCGTTCAGCGGTAAGTTTGAAACTTATAACTCAAAAAATTGGATTCGATTGGTTTCGTAGATAGCCCATGGCGTAGTTTTGTACTTAAGCTCAGAATAAAAAAAACTAATTTTAACAGAAACAGTTATTACAAATTTACATATTTCAATTACCTATTGAAATAAAAAATTCGAATAATTTCAGAAATTATCAAATTTTGTTCTTACATACGTTAGTCTTCGATTTAGAAATGATTATGAAACTTTCTTGGGTAATTTTGACACCAGTCTTGAGGTTTTGCCATCAGTTCCTTTTTTATACCTTAACTAGTCGAATTATAAATAGGCAATATTTTTAAAGAAATTTTGGCCCCCAGTGACACAGCGGTATGTCTGCGGACTTACAACGCTACAGTCCAGGTTTCGATACCCATGATGGACAGAGTACAGATAGCCCTTTGTATAGCTTTGTGCTTAATTACAAACAAAAGAAATTTTAGCGTATCCGGCAGCAGCACGTGACTTTATCAATCACAACAACTTGTTATAAATATACTTTCTCGATGTATAATGAAAAAATAAAATGGAAGTAAATTGCTCCGATCGCTGTTCAAACGGAATAGGAAACCAGTAATACAGTGGCCTGGTTTGTAAGTCAATGGCAATAAGAAATAAATAGGCTGCTGTCCATGTAAAAAAACGATATTAAACCAATTTTTCAAACTCTACTAATATGCTTTGTTTAGATAATAGTTTCTCAGTAATTACTGTATTTAGAAAGTATTTATTTTTATTCGAAAGTGTAGTAGCTTCGCGTGCGATTTCGATAAGGTTGTTAGGACATAAAAAGTTTCAAAGTCACCCATTTTTAATATATTATGCGATGCTGAAAAACTTCAAACCTTTTATGTCAATTTCAGATGCAAGTGTATGACGTCAGCAGGTTAGGAAACTTAGTGGACTCCGGAGGAGAGAACTCCTTTTCCCAACGTCTAGATTCTAGAGTTGGTTTCTACAAAGGCAACGTTGTCTTCATCAAATACATAATCAAACGTAGCGTCGATCTTACACGGAGTCTCTGTAAGGAGCTTATTAACGTGAGTCTGTTTCATTCAACACGACCCATGCTTGTACGTGTTTACATTTAACTATTTTTGTTTCTGGTTTTTCATTATAAAGATAGATAAGTAAATAATTTTTAAAGTATGAAAAGGGTATTGTAAAGATTTCAACTTTAAAGTTTGTCTATAGAAGGTAGTAACTTTAATTCATCTTTCAGATTCGTGAAATGAGACATGAAAATATTAACCCAGTAATTGGCGCATGCGTAGACCCTCCAAACGTTTGTGTCTTAACTTTGTTCTGTGCAAGAGGCAGCCTGGAGGTGAGAACAATAATAGTAATAATAATAATGATAACAGCCTGTCTTACAACGACAGAATTATTGTGTGTCTATTATACAAATTCTATGTTTATAAGAAATGTTTGAATTGTTAGTAATAATGAGGTTCCTAATAATTGGTATTGTCCATTTGTATTGTGTGCTATCGTTTTGTTTTACTAAAATAGTTATAGGTAAAAAAAATAAAATACATCAATCCTGTTGAGGTAAAACAATGTTTTTAAAAACAGTCGTTTCATGTCTGATGCATCTGGTTAACTTGTTGGCAGTATTAATAATCAACGTATTTTTAATTTTTTACTACACTTTCATTGTAAAAAATACTAATGAAAAGATTAATATCAGAGAATAGAATAAAGTTAGGTTTATGAACAAATATTGTGTTCCCCCTATGATGACTATCACCAGTTCAATTTACCGTTATTAAGCAAGAGCATGGAAACTATGAAAATAAAGCCTGTATTTTCAAATATGTAGAATATTGTGACTTTTAAGTTACAAAATTTTTCAATATAGTCCATATTTTCACTTGTATAAATAATTGTGTTTAGAAAAAAATGCAATGAGTAATAATTAGGGAACAGCTTATCAATAAGGTACAAAGGCAATTTTAATTGCAAGCTAAGCTGTTATTATCGTAGTCCCAGAAGTAAAATAAATAAAATGGATGACTTAAGCACTGGTCGGAAGAGAAGATTGTAATATGATGGGAATAACTGAAACCTGGCTTAATGTAGAAAATTTTGATGACTGAAATAGTTTGAAATATAAGGTTATAGGTTGTTTAATAGGGATTGAGTACTAAGGAAGGGGAAGGTATGGCTTTACATGTAAAATGTGAGTTACAGCTTGTTGAAGTTGAGGATATCACAGCTAATAACAATCATTTGTTTGTTTGTTTTTAGAGCAAAACCACATTGGGCTATTTACTAAGTCCACCGCGGGGAATCGAACCCCGGATTTAAGCGTTGTGAGTACGTAGACTTACCGCTATCCTACCAGGGGCCAATAACAATGAAATTGATTATTGAATCTATTTGGGTTTCTATTAGTGGTTATAAGGGGAGAAGGCTTTTAGTTGGAATTTTTTACAAACCACCAGATGAAATTGGTGAAATAAATGAGAAACTCTACAGTGAGATAAAGAATTTAACTGTTAATGAGGATATAATTAAGGAAGATTTAATTTAATTTTGGGCATATAGATTGTGAAATTTTAGAGTTAAATCATGAGAGAGACAGGTTTTTAGAAACTGTTCAGGATGGTTTTCGTCAACAATTGGTCAGGGAACCAACTAGGAACAATGCTATTTTAGATTTCTTGTTAACTTCTAATAAAGAAATGGTTGATAGGATGAAGACTGGGAAGCATCTAGGTGTAAGTGATCAATGCTCAATTAGATTTGAAGTTTTGCTGCCTATGGAGATAATGAGAGTTTGGTTCCAAATTTCAAAGAGATCAGACAAGAATTATCTGCGGTAAATTGGGAACGTAATTAGTTGCAGATACTGATCAAATGTGGAAAATGTTAAAATAAATTCTTAACTATTCAAGATAGGATTGTTCCTTATAGACAATAAAGACTGAATGCAGATGAAAAACCAGGTTGGCTCACAAAGGGTATAAAGGATAAATTTAAAGAAAATCATTATAAATATAAGAAGTTTAAATAGACTGCAATGGTGGGAGATTTGGATCATTATAGAAGATCAAGAGAGTTGATCAAACCGAACATTAGGAAATCAAAACATATACGATAAAACGCTGGCTAAGTATGTAAAGATTAATAGTAAGGATTTCTTCAAATACAATAAGGGTAAGGTGAATGGTAGGATGGGAGTAAGACCTTTGAGGGAAAGTATAGGAAAGCCAGTATCTGATGATTACTGGATGGCTTGATTATTAAATTCTAGCTTTTTCTTCAGTTTTTCCTAATGGATATTTAAGCTATATTCCTCAATCTGAACAGCTGCTAGATGGAAAAAAGGTGGAATAAGATGATCACATTAACCCTGAGCTCGTTAAGAAAAAATTGGAAAGTTTAAAGAATGATAGGCTCCTGGGCCAGATTATATTTAACCACAGCTTTTTTTTTAAGAAGTTAAATATTGGATATGTGGGCCACTTGCTACTATTTTATAAGTCCTTGAATAGAGGGAAGGTGCCAGAAGATTGGAAGTTTGCTAATGTTACTCTTCTTTTCAAGTGAGGTGATAAAAATTGTTCCAGTAATTATAGGCCTATTTTGAAATTCTAATAAAAATAATTGCAAAGTTAGTTAACAAAGTTTAAAATTTTGTTTGATAGTCAGCATTGTTTCACTAGGGGAAAATTTTGCCTTACTAATCTTTTACATTCTTTGAAGAGATTACTGCTTACATAGATTAGGGTACGAGCCTGGATGTGGTGTATCTTGTTTTCCAGAAAGCATTTGACAAGGTTTCGCACAACCACATTCGCGTTCTATCTTATCAATACCCGTTTTATCTGTTAATTTTATTTTATCTTTGGTATTCCCTATCATGTATCACGGGTATTTACAAGACAGAATGTGAATATGGTGGTATTTATATTGGTCAAACTAAAAGAAATTTAAAGTACAGATTGCAAGAACCTAAAGGTTATATAAGAAATAATAAAATAGAAACCTCAGCTGCAGCTGAACATGTAAAAACTAACCAACATGCAATATTATGGGAAAAACTTTAATTTTGGCTCAATTCTCGTAGTATTATAGCATTAAATATTAGAGAAACATTAGAAATAATAAAAAAAGAGAAGAATTATATAGAAACGAAAGACCAGCAAGTCTATATGTTGATATATGGCGAGATATATAATAATGATTATAAAAAATAAAAATAAACAAAAAGTAGACCAAGGAAATATATAAATAATAGTGAAGCAGTGTAACAAGGAGTAAAAGTATGTCTTGTAAGAAACTTCTGAAACTACTACTTGTAGAGATTTATTTTAAAGTGGAAGCCGTACGGCTTCAATAAAGTTTTAATTGTGTAAACAGTAAATGTTGTTTTTAATATTTATTATAATCTAAAGTAAGTTGAGACTAGAAAGCTATATAGGATAAGGCGAAAAACGAATGACGAGGTTGTAACTTGAGCCATTTTTCTAGCTTTTAGATTGTATTGTTTTTCTCTGTTTTTTTCAAATTGTTTGGGTTTGGTTTGAATTTCGCACAAAGCTACACGAGGGCTATCTGCGCTAGCCGTCCCTAATTTAGCAGTGTA